AGAGAGAGAGAGAGAGAGAGAGAGAGAGAGAGAGAGAGAGAGAGAGTAGAAATAGAGAGAAAATGCTGATTTGGGAGGATGACACCTACCAAACGACGGGTCGATTTCTCCTCCGCGAAGGGCGCTCGACGGGCGCCACTATACCCACAGAAGCCTTTGTAGAATTCGCCCTGGTCCGCTACTGAAACAGACATGAGGCCATGCGTTAAGGGTGTTTTTTTCCTGCGCGTGTGTCAAGCATACACTCGCGTTTAATAGTGCGTTTCTTTTCTCTTTTTTCCCCTCTTTCTTGCGAATCGTCGTATAGTGGGTGGAATGAGAGCGGCAGTTTTGCGATTTCATGGTCGGAGATCGGAGATTCGATCGTACGGCGTCCCTTCGATCTCGGACTTACAAACAACAGGGCAGAACAATACGGGCGAATTTCCACATAGGCTCCTGGACAATCTTTTCGTACTTTTCTTTCTCTCTCTCTCTCTCCCCCTTTTTCTCATTTTCTCTCTCAGAAATCCTTCCCGTGTTTACCTCGCGGCAAATCCGGTCCGTGGGACTGAACAGTTTCCCGTGAAACAATTGCGACAATTCAAATATTAGTCGATCATTTACGTTCAACGCTTTGGTAAAAGGTTCATGGTGAGTCTTTTACCATAGAATTTGTAAAACGATCGGAAGGAAGAAGATTACAAAGTCCGACGATTTCCCGAATCTATCGCAATCGACTTCCTCGTACCGTTCGTCCCGCCTTTCCGGATTGCGTGTTGAGAAATCTTCCTTACCAGACGGCGTGGTTGCTTGACCAGAGGCCGATTCATTCCATTCATCTTGTGGTAGAGCCCGCACGCGTTGCAGAGGTAATGCCCTGTGCCGTCCCTACGCCACAGAGGTGTGGAAATCGCGCCGCAGTTCACGCATTCACGGCCCTCCGTATAGTACTCCGCCTCGATGTTGTGCACTATTATTTCATAATCGATCGTGTTGTTCTCGTGAAAAACCAAGTAGACGGATCGCAACGACACACAAACTCACATATACACACACACACACACACACACACACATTTATATATCGAAAAAAATATTTAAAAATTAATAAATATTTATTAGGTGGGTACACAGAGAGAACGATTTATTAAATCAAATAAATGTTTCTTTGGAATAGTCCAAACAAATTATTTAATTGACAAAAATAATTCTTTAGAATTAAGCCGCAAATAAATATTTTTGTTACGTCAAACAAAATTTTGTTCGATCAATCAAAAAATTTGTTTGGACTATTCCAAAGAAGTGTTTATTCGATTTAATCAAATCGTTCTCTCTATGTACCATTAAGATAATTACTTAAATCAAAATTCTCCTCATATTTAAATTGGGTATTGTTTACTTAAACAGAGTAAATACTCAGATTAAATGAAAAATATTTTGATTCAAGTACATATGTTAATAATACCTATCTAATAAATATTTGTTATTTTTTTCTGAGTGCATATATGCTTAACTGACAACGCTTACTTCTTCCTTTTATCCTGTAATGATTCTTCTTATCATAGAATTAGCACAGAATTTGCATAATATGGACAAATTTGGTAATTACTGATTGGTAATTGCGACTAATCCAACTTAATAATTATGATTATGCACGCATTGGGCCTGAGATCGGCTTGATTAGGATAGCGATCGTGTAGCCCTTTTTCTAAAGCGGAAACGTGAAGAGTGGAAAAGAGTTTCACGTGAAATCGACGGCTTCAGCGATTGTGTAACTTCTCCTGTAATAATGGAGATGTGAAAATGGATATTTTTCACGTGAAACTTCTCATTTTTCACGAGTTCACGCTAGGGGAAAAGATATATGACCGATAATCTGAGGACGATCGGTCGCCTCCACGATCTCCAAGTTCGCGAAATGCAAGTATTCGTGAGCGCGACGTAATGAGCGGAACTACGGCGACGTGTGAGCACGGGGGCAAGCGTATCTACGGTGGCCTCTTTTTACGTGACCACTTGGAAACTATTGTTTCGCCGGCTCGCAGTGTCCCCACATTTCCACTGCGTGACTATGAATATGCATAGTTTCTCGGAGCTTAAAATGTAAGCTATTGCGGAACACGCGAACGTTCATTTTAATTTTCCTCTATTTCGGCGATAGCAAAGAAAACGAAGAAATTTGACAAAGCGTTCCTATTAATAGAGGTGAGGTCTAGTGAAATTAACATACAACGTCCAAGAACACGGAGAAAAATAATAGCAAATCCTCTGCTGGTCTAGCAAAATCTTTTCGTTATTGTATGGACAGTGAAAAAGTTTGCTAAGAATATTAATTACTATTTGCTGGATATAATTTGCTGAATCAACAAATTTTGCTAGAAATTTTGCTTTATAAGAATCATGATGGATTTATATAAGCAGTTTTACTCCGATAGCAAATAAATTTGCTAAGGATACATTGTTTTGCATCAATAGCAAATTAACGTGATTCTTAGGACAAATACACTCAACAAATTTTTTCTATCATGGCAACGAAACTACTTCTGCTCTAATAACAAATAATTTAATTTAAAATTAGTTACGTTAACTAAATTTTTGTCACCACGAATATGCAGTAGCAACGACGATTTTGCTACAAGAGCAAAATTATTTTTCTCCGTGAAGGAAAACAGAAAGAATTTAAATGTTCTGTTATTGATTTTAATGACGAGCAAAACACTAAAATCAATGACGAAATAAATCATTAGAATTTAACGATCGTCATTAATGTTTTCCTGATGCTTTTTTAACAACTGTTGAACTTGGAAACGCTTGAATATGTCTTCAAGCTCAGGTAACACGAACAAAAATGCATCTCACGTAAATACTCCTTAAAGTACTATCATTCTCCACTCAAATGTTATATTTACAACTGATAATTCAGTCGTAAATATAGCATTGCAACGTTCTATCCGTGCAGCGACTGTTTCCATTGAATTAATGCAGTTTGCAAATGCAGATTGTGTCGTCGCATACAAATTGCATGGAAACCATTAATTCTGTCATCACGAACGCAGAAAGTTGAATTTCGTGCAGCATATAGTGAATTCGCGTCCTTTGCAGATTTTGCAGTGAAATCTTACTTCCACCGAAAATCAATGAATATTTCTTAATTATCGACGAAATACTTTTCTCGCTGCTTCAATCAAAAATATTCTAGCTGGTTCACTTTAAGAGAGCACATTTTTCTGAAATCATTGGTTTCGAGGCGCGCATTGAAGTGTATTTTCTCTCTTTTCTCTCGACATTCTTTCTTCCAATTCGAAAAAAACGGGGAACACGTTGTACCGCTGAAACATTGCCAATAATTATTTATTTTGTAGATCACCGCGCAGAGAGAGTACCAAGGCCGTGCAAGAAAAGCACGGGAAATACGATGGAAGAAGGAGCAGCGACGAGTGCGAGAGCAGGACGACCGCAGGAAGTACAAAGGCGTTGGGGGAAGGATAGAGACGCACATGACGTTATCAGAATTTCCGGCGTTCGCCGATAAAACGCGCGTCACCGAGCGGTCGCCTCGAGCGTTCGTGCTTCAAGAAGAGCGTTTGTCGTGTACCTGCCAAATTATTTCTGTGTCAGTTACCGACACACAGGCCTGGGAAATGATCGGCGAATTGATGCAGCTCGAACGTTCGCAAGCGCTGCATCGGCGTCGAGTGCTTCGGCGTGAAGATTCGCCGCGAATCCGCATAAAAACGATTCGCACTAAGAAATTTTTCCTAGTAGAAAGGCCGAGCTATGCTGAGGAGCGAGCAAGCGAGTGAACGTGTCACTTGACGACGTATGAAAAAAAATAAGAGAATTTGTCTCAGGTTACCCGGTGAAAAAAGAGAAGAAAAGTAAGGCGGAGAAGGAGAGAAGCCGCGGTGAGGTCGGCGTACGCGAGCAGCACATCCGGCAGAAATGCGACTGGGAAGCAATCGGATATTGCATGTGGGTAAGCAAGAAGCTGCTGATGCCGTGTCCGAGTCCTACGAACTCTCTCAGGGAGAGAGAGGGCATTACGTATGTGTATACGCGCGGGTCGAGTTGCGTTCTCGCGCCTTCGTGACGCCACCTTGACCCACAAATAGTAGGTTATTATTAATCGCCGGATTAATAATCGCCGCGAGCGCGCGAGAAGAGGAAAGGGAGAGATGGGCTTCATGTCTCTTTCGAAAATATGACCCGCTATTTTCCTTTTTCTCTCCTTTTCTCTTCAAGTCGCGATAACGCGCAAGTGAACGGCGCGGAAATGAACTGTCTATCGCGAGCTTAATCCTAGAAAGATAGTGTGAGTAACTTTTACTCATACTGGAAGTCAAACTCCTTAAATCTTCTCTCGAATCTCCAAATAAGATTAGCTTTTATGGGAGCGGAAATTTATTTAAAACGAACGAAAAGTGACAGTATTTTCACTCGATATAAATGGTGAAAATACTGTCAATCTTGCGATGCAAGAGTGAATGTCTCACTCAAGTTTAGAGTAAATCCCGACTTTATATGAGCGAATGTTTTAATCGATTAGAGTAAATATGTTTTGTTGACGGTGGAGTCACGATCAGATTCACTCTTCAATTTGGAGTGAAAATATTCGACGATCCATAGTGAAAGATTCACTCTATATAAATGAAAAATCACTTGAATTCAAGTGGTCATTCATTTTGAGTGAAATTTCACTTCAAGAAATTTGAAGAGTAGTATTTTATTTATATTTCAAATCCAAGTATGCTATTTTTAAAATAAGCGTATAATTTGATTGAAGCTCTTTTTACATGTTTTGTACAATTTCAGTAAATCACCTTATTTAATATGTTTAAGACGTGTAAATTATACGTTTAATAGTAATACGTTTAAATATGTTAAATGACGTGACTTGAAACAGCAAGAAATATGTAAATTCAGTCAAAATAATACACTTGACATATTACTTGAATGTGAGTAAAAATTATTTATCTCTTCATTGTATCGTAGGTTATCACTACCTTCCTCAGATTAAAGCTTTCAGTGAATAAAAATTATTCACGCTACTTTTCCAGGGTCAATAAATACGACTGATAATATAGTGATGTGAGAATTCAATCGGTGAAGTATGAATCTACGGAATTTATTGTGCAAGGCAAATTAAATTCGCGATACTCGCAAACTAACAATTTTACTTTGGAGGATCAGCGTACATTGACCAAGTCGTTGAATCAAAATCAAAATCGATCTCGTTGTTCTATGGCGTCTATAATATCGGTGCGCTCAGTGGAAGAGCGTCCGTAATGAGATATGAAAGGACGCGTGAGGGGAACGAAGCGGGCAATTAAAATGTGAGCATTGAGTTACCGCGCCGAGCCGACATGAGGACGAGGAGGTCAGAGGACACGAGAATCTCTTCGAGATAGGAGCTGAATCGGACTGGGAAGCAATCGGATATTATGTAAGCAAGAAGTATAGCTGACGTAGCTGGGTATCCTCCTCTATGGGGTCCCTCTCCCCCCTCTCTCCCGTTCCCCCGTCGCGCTATACGTATAAAGAGCGTGGGTTCGCGTTGCACTTTCGCGCCCGAACTACGCCGTTGCATGTATATTTCTCGACCTTCGCGACATTCTTCCTGCGCGTGTGGAGACGCACTGAGAGAAAGATGTTTGGTACATGCGACAGTAATCATATAGAGAAATGATTACTACACACAAATTATGGTCAAAACAACCATTTTCTATTAGATGAAAATTGTTGGATTTTTTATGAAATTCCACTATAATGTTAGTAGATGATAACCTTATATACATTTTCGTACTGGAACAAGAAATATAATGATAAGGCCAAAAATAATCATCACTCAAAAAGGTTTTTGCTAGACCAGGTAAAATTTGAAATTACGGTTAAAATTTTTCGCTTTTTGTATTTGCTAGAAAATTATCTGTGATATGCTGAATCGTAAATAACAGCAGCAACATTCTAGCAATATTTGCAAGTAAATTCGGATGGCTGTGAGGATTTTCGTTTGTCTCTCGCATTTTTTGTTTATCATAGTTACTTTCATAAGAAGTGTAATCAGTCTTAATCTGGATAGACACCACACAAAGAGACTCTCTTGCTAAATTTCATGAATAGTTTAGATATATATTCTATCTCTATCATCTGTACTGATTAAATACAAAACACATATGCGATATCGCAGTGTTTGCCAGTCATTTATCCCTCTCAACTAATTTCTTGTATCTAGATAATTTTTATTATGACCGCAAAACCATTTGTTTCAGTTAAATCAACTATTTCTTTCCCTGAGTCCGGAATGTTGCAGCAACGGAAGAAAAAGAAAAAAACAAGCTACAAACAATGCAAGAAAGGATAAGAGAAATAATGAGCGATTTTCATTATCGCGGATCAGATGATAAATCAGATTGCGGATCGTTATTTTCTCCGAGGCCGAGTTCGCAGTCAGATGATCGCACCGACGCCGATAATAAGCAGTGCACCGTGCGCGTTATCGTCGCATTAATATTCTCATTCACCTGCGCTTTTGTTTCCTTCGGCTCTCTCTCTCTCTCTCTCTCCCTTTCTTCCTCTACTTTCTGATACTTATTATTTCATCTAGGAAGCTCTCTCTCGCGGCTGCGCGCAGGTGCTGCATGATTGCCGCTGTTATTTACGACTCCGCCTCGTTATTCTAATGTATTCCTGTGTGATTGTTATTGTAAAATTGCGGTTGAAGAACCGGGAAGAGAATAATGATGCCGTCGTTCGATCTGTTCACCCTGGACAAGCTCCTCCGTCGTCGTCGTTGGTTCCCCGAGGAGCATCTCGACCGTAAATATCTGAGCGAAGGAGAGAAGAGAGAAAAAAAAAGACAGGGGCAAAGTACACAGGGGGCTAAAAAAAGACAAGTTTTCGGATCGGTCGGATTAATTTAGGAGCGGCCACGTGCACGGTCCTTCAGGATGATACACGGCCCCATGCATCGACGTATACGACGTACACGGAAGAGGCGAGGGGGAGACGGCTCCCCCATGTAAATGGGGTGGTATCTGGCACGCTTAAAGTCAAACGCCCGGTCCGGTAGTGAACTACGGACGCGGACGAAACACTCGAGGTCGCGGTATGTTAAAAGGCTGCGTCTCTCGTTGCCGGTCTGCCGAAATGGAGTCCGGATGGTGCGGCATGTGTAACCGCAGACTTCGAACCCTGAAGGACCACTTAAGGTTTTAAACTCGCACTCTCCTTCTCTCTTTCTCCGTTCTACGGCCGATACATCCCTCATAAAAGGCAGGGAGAAAGAGAGAGAGAGAGAAAGAGAGATGCATTTCTTTCTCTTTCCCTCTTTCTTTTATCTCTTTTTCAATATCTGCTCGTGAACACGTCTTAACTGTCTTAATCTCTGTTGCATATCCGATTACCGACACGATGATTGTGCTATGATACAACAGAGGCGATAAATGAATAAAGGGGCGCGGTAATTTCGCGCTTGCAAACGGCACAGGATCAAACACGATCGAAAAGGAGTCGAAACGGAACCACTTGACTCGGGCATGGGAACCGAGCGAACGGCAGGGGTGAAGGAAAACCGAACGCAACCAACTAATTCGTTCCCATGCGATGTCGCGCTTTAAGTGTCAAAAGACAAAAAAGAATGGAGAAAAGGGGGAAGGACGAAAAGACGAATATGTATTCGACTCGTTTTACCGCGATGGCAAATTTTTATGATCCTCTAATTTGGTGGAGTGGAATCTCAGTTGAGACGAATGAAAAATGGCAGTATCTTCACTCGAGGTGATCGCGAAAACACTGCCACTTAAAATCGCAAGAGTGAATATGTCGCTCAAGCTTAGGGTGGATTCTCACTTGATACAAGCGAATGTTTCGGTCGATCAGAGTGTTCTTGCACAACAGAAGCGCTCTTCAATTTCGAGTGAAGATGTTCGCTCGAACTAAAGTAGATAATTCACTTCATACGAGTGAAAAATCGCTCGAATGCGAGTGGCTCGATGGTGGTTCTCTTCGAGCGAAATTTTACCGCAAGAAATTTAGAGGGATGCTTTCAGTCTCGATCAACGATCGCGCGCGAACTCGTCGCGAACTTTTCGCGGAATCTTCAGCGCGTGTAGGAAAGAATGAGAGAGAGAGAGAAGGAAAGCGAAGTTATCCTGAAGCAACGAAGATACCCGGGAGATATACTTGGAGAAAACGACCGAGATACTCCCTCGAATGAGACGGATATTTTAACGACGACAATTTAAGAAGGAGAGATATTTTCGACTTTGACTCATTGCTCTCGACGGCAAACGGCGAACTTTTACGTCACATGCGGATAAAGAAGTCCGGTCGACCTCTCCGACCGGTGAACCTTGAGAAGAGGTGACGACGCTTTATCGCGGCGTCACTATTATTACCTAAAATAAATAACGGGCGTACGCACCGAGATTATTAACGTTCAATGTACTCGGCCGCGCGTTATCGGCCGCCGTGACGAGGAGGGCGACTCTTAATAACGATTGCCGAAAACGGGGAAAAGCTGAGGCCGAGATTCGGCGGCTCACGGCGGTGATGAGCCGCTCCTACTGTTGCTGCGCGATATCGACCTCCGGCGTGAACTTGGGGGCTTGCATAAGAGCCAAAATTAATTACAGACGGACACGAGGTGCACGCTCTCGTGAGAGATTTCGCGGTCTTAATCGTGCCGCCTTTACCCTGCGTCGACGATACGGCGCAGCCCTGGGCGCGAGATTTCACCGTCGCGATCCGCGTGATCGAACGCAAGAATCGTCTTCTTGGCGTCGCCCGCCATCGCGATCTTAATTAAACGTTGCCCTCGATTATCGCGCTCGGTGCATTCCATGCGGGACTGTTGTTGGCAAAGAGAGGCGGATAGAGGAAAATCCCCGGTGCTCCTCTTTTTTCCCTCTTTTCTGTTTAGCTGAACGCACCGAGACACCGAGTATAGTACATCTATCTGCGGGTATTTGAATGTCAAATGCTTGCGTGCATATTTATGATCGCGCCTCATGAAATCGCAAAGTTCTATTTTTCCGCTCATTTTCTATCATATATGCATATTCCTGAAAGGGAAAAAGAACCAGCCACGCGTGCAATGAACCGTGTGCATCGTGCGTTTAAAAGTATCGCCTCTTATCGCAGCCCAAGGTTACATACGTATCATTAGGTACGATTCTACGCAAAAAAAAGTTTCACATGTACTCTCTTAACGCTCAAAAAAACGTTTCACTGATCTAGGTAGAATGCTATAAACGTCGCAGTTAAAATTTATCGTTGTTAAGACTTCACTGCAAGATCTGTAGTGCACAAATTCGCTGTACACGAAAAAACGTTTTATCGCATTATCCAAATGTCTGAGGTGAAATGTGAACGAACTAGAAGTTACCAGGAAATTGCAGATTCGTTCATATTTCACCCGAAAAACTTGGTTAATTCAGCCAAATTTTTTTTCCACACACTGGACCAACTTTTTCTGCGTTTGTGGTGATGGAATTGACGGTTTCCATACGCTCTACACGCGATGACGTAATCTGTGTTGACAAAGTGCATCAATAATGGGAATAGTTACTATTCCTATACCAGGTCTGTAAATATGAAACCGGAATTTGCCCATAGATGGCCCTAGCTGTCAATGTAGTTACCGTCAAACCGCGTCATTGGCGCCATTTCCTTGTTGACATCTCTGACAAAGATTTTCAACTCACAACAATACAAGTTTCATACAACAGCATAGTTTGTAATAGCGTTGAACATGTCGAATTTTGTGCCTGGAAACTACGATTTGCGGACAGCATTGATTTTCTGTTACCATTTGAAGAAAATTGCTGCAGAATCGCATCGAATGCTTGTCGAAGCTTACGGTGAGCATGCTCTTGGTAAATCACAGTGCTTTGAGTGGTTTAAAAAATTCAAAAGTGGCGATTTTGACGTGAGAAACGAAGAACGTGGACCACCGAAAAAGTTTGAAGACAGCGAATTGCAAGCATTGTTGGATGAGGATGACACTCAAACGCAACAACAACTCGCGGATCAATTAAATGTGACACGAGAAGCCGTCTCCATACGTTTGAAAGCCATGGGAAAGATCCAGAAGATGGAAAAATGGGTCCCACATGAACTGAATGAAAGACAGCAGGAAAACCAAAAAACCACTTGCGAAATGCTGCTCGCCAGGTACAAAAGAAAGTCATTTCTCCATCGAATTGTGACTGGCGATGAAAAGTGAATATATTTTGAGAATCCTAAGCGTAAAAGATCATGGGTAACTCCAGGCGAACTATCGACATCGACTGCAAGGCCAAATCGCTATGGACGGAAGACAATGCTCTGATTGGTGGGATCAGAAGGGTGTGATCTATTATGAGCTGCTAAAACCTGGCCAAACTGTTAATACTGAACGCTACCGATAACAAATGGTCGATTTGAATCAAGCTTTGCGTGAAAAACGATCAGAATATAAAAAAAGGCAATACAAAGTGATTTTGCTTCATGATAATGCACCATCACACACAGCAAAACTGGTCAAGAAAACGATTGAGGCGTTTAGTTGGGAAATACTTTCGCACGCGGCTTACTCACCAGACTTGGCTCCGTCCGATTACTATTTATTATATTTGCATCGATGGGACACGCACTTGCTAAGCAGCGCTTCACTTCTTACGAAGAGGTACAAAAATGGCTCGATGACTGGTTTGCCTCAAAAGAGCAACAGTTTTTTTGGCGTGGCATCCACAAATTGTCAGACAGATGGGAGAAATGTATAGCTAGCGATACTTCAAATAAAATATAAAATATTTATCATTTTCATACAATAAACGTGTATTTTCTATACAAAAATTCCGGTTTCATATTTATATACCTGGTAATTCCTATAATTAATCCTTCCAGCGAGATTTTACAAAATATGTTGCTATATTTATAACTGAATTATCCGTAATAGGTGTAGTTCAATTCGGTGAAGAATACACTGTGATTGTATTTTAGAGAATATCAAACAGACGTTTTGCCTCGGAAAGGCGGAGGAGCAGACAGCCAAAGAACTCTCTCTCTCTCTCTCTCTTGCGGATTTCAACGCCGAAAAACATGACCCGACATTCCTCGAGCGGCGAGACGCGGCGATACGTTGTCGTACTTGTATTTTCCGCGAGTGATATGAGCCACTTTGTGGCGGCTTGTCGACTT